TCTGGGAGGGGAGGGGGCTGCTCCAGGCTGGGGGTCTGGCAGGAGCAGGCAGGGATTTTTCTTCCCATCCCTGCTGGGAGCTGGGTGCACCCAGTGAGAAGAGGGAAAGGAGGAGAATCATGATGGCAGAGCCCAACTTCCAGAGTGATCCTCACCTCTGGTCCAAGCACACTCCCAGGTCTCCTTCTGAGATTATTTTTTAGGTAAAACTTCCTATTTCACTCTGCCTTCCAGTCTGCATCTCCCCCTTCCAGAGAAGTGGATTTTGGTCTGGGGATGCTGCCCCAATCCCCACCTCTAATTAAGGAGAAGGATTTGTTATGTTTGTGCCATTAGCAGGATTTTCCTTGGGGAAACTTCCCAAGCATTGATTCCTGTTCAGTTTGTTGTGTTAATTACAGCTGGCATTCCCAGTGAGCATCCAAACTATCCCAAGCACTGCATCCTCTGCAGTGATGGCGTATCCTGAGAATGCTGCTCCATTCCTGCTCATCGGTTCTCCCAAAATGCAGCTGGGATGGTTCCACAGGCAGTGCCAGTGTTTCCAACATACTGGCAGCAACTGGACTGGCCTTGAAGTGGCCAGACTTGTACAGAAATCCTAAGGACACAAAAAGTTTGGAAAAGCTGTTTGGTGGGGAATGGTGTCCTGGTACTGCCAGGAGACAGAGGGAATAGTGCAGGCAGGGAAGAACTCCCATTTGGCACAGAATTCCCTGTGAAAGCACCATCCCTCTGACTGCTGCTTCCAGACCCCACTGGAAGCGTGAGCAGACTGTGTAATTCACTATTAGAAATCCAATTCATTTGGGGTTTTTTTAATGTCTTTTATGATGAGGTTTTTCATCCCACCTCCAAAATTCCAATGTGGATAGATAGCCTGTCCTCTTCCTTCCATATAAATTGGGTGTCTGAAGTTGGCTCCTTTCCTAGGCAGCCAAATTCCCTGTGCTTTCTCAGAGTCATGCAGCCAATCCTCCAGAGCTAAAAATGCAGAAAGAGGGCACCAAACTGGAGCTATTTTGGAGTTGAGGTCACTTTAATTTACTTGGCCAGGCTGGAGATCTGCCAAAAGCCAAACCAGAATGGCAGGAACACTGATTGCAACCCAACCCGCTTCCTGAAGAATCCAGAGAGGGCAGGAATGGAAACCAGGGAGCTTTCCTAGTTGATCTAAGCAGGGAATAAATTTCTTCCTGTCCTAAATTCTCACATGTCCTTTTTAACAGCAGAACTAAGGAGGTTGTGTGGGGTAAGCTTGGAGATACCAAAACCTTGAGCATCCCAGGGAATTTGCTCCTTGTCTGTGACATGGATCTCTGTGGGTGAGTGATGGGAGGACTCTGGGATCTCCTGGAGATCCACCTGTGTCTCAGCCTGATCCCAGTGGAATGGGAGAGCCCTGTTGGACCAGCAGGTCTTGGATGTCTCTGGTTTTCAGTACACACAGGCAGTTTCCATCCTGCAGATCTGCAGGAATTCCTGCTGCAGCACCTGGAGGATCTGCTACAAGGGAATGGCACAGGCTGGCTGGGGTCAGTGCTTCCCTCAAAGGGAAAGGAAAGGAAGAATGGAAGACAGCCAGGGAATCCTGGTTCAGGTTCTGGATGAGTGCTCCAGCTCTGCCCTCCCCAGTGGTATCACCAGCTCCTTGCAGTGTCTTCTTCCATATTTTCATTAAATTCATGGAATGTTCCTGTGTGTGATCCCAACCCTCTGCCAGACTTCCCTGATGGGAATCATCACAAACATTTTAGGGGGAATATGTGTGGATCCATGCAGAGCCTGTTTGTGCCAGCTGTTTCCACATGAGAGCAGGATGAACTCAGTCAGCTTCCTACAAAGCTCTGGGAAATCTCCTGTTCCAGCTGCCTTTTCCCCCCAAATCTGGAGCTAGGACAGCTCAAGTGACACCCACAATCCTCTGCTGGAGCACTCAGTGTACCCTCCATGCCAGGCTGCATGTGAGCCCAGGTGGGAGCTGGGATGTGACTGGGATCTGGGAAGCAGCGTGGGAGAGTCGGAGCTGGGAAGAAGACTGGCAGGAAATGGGAGTGAGTAAATCAGCCGAGCTCGCCTGAGTTGTGACTAAAGGGGGAGCATGAGACATCTGCAAATATTAGAGATGTGTAAACACAGAGCAGGGAGAGGGAATGGTGGAGGGAATGATTGAAGGGAGTGAACTTTTGGATGGAAAAATGTAGGTCAAGTATGAAGGAAAACTTGTAGGCAGCGAGATAAGTGCTGTAAAACAACCTCCTTGGGAAACACAAGTCCCACTGATGGAGATGTTTATCCTAAGGCAGATGAGGGCTGGAAAAGAGGCTGAGCTGGAGGGATGGATTCAGGGTGTCCATCCCAGATGGGACTGGGCACACCAGTGATGTCCATCCAGCTTCTTGTGTGTTCATAATTCCCCTTAAAACTGCAGGCTGGTGTGGTTCAGTTAATCCATCCAGATTTTAATTCTGAAAACTTCATGGCTTTGGGGGGAATTCACCCACCTGACATCAGCCAGTTCAAATTCAAGGAGGTCATCCACACCAGCTGCCCAAAATCCTGGATGGTCGCCAGGGGAAGAAGAAGTTAATCCAGCCGCTCGCTGCCGGACACTCCGAGGGTTGGGGTGTTCTCAGGACACCCTCTCCTTGTTGCTCTAAAGGCACCCCAAATCATTAAGGTAATTAATAAAGCCTCTCTCTGTTTTGCTCCACATTACACTGGAGTGTGTGGGAACAACAGCATCGTGTCCAGGCAGAGACTGGTTGAGTCCTCAGATTGGAATAAGGATATGGGCTGTCTGAATACATCCTGGGCAGTCAGTGGCTGCTTTGGAGCCCATTTTACACCCCCTGGTGCTGTGTCCCATCAGTGTAAGGTGTCGCTGTCCCCTGAGCTCTCTAACCCTCCTTTACATCCTGTTGAGGTTCCATAGCAGCGGTGACAGGTCCTGCTTTCCCAACGGAGAGAAACTCATGGTGCCTGCAGAGGGCCGTGTGCCAGCCACTGAGGGGTCCTGCTGTGTCCTCCTTGCTGTCCCCATGTCTGCTTGCTCCACACACTGTCCCCAGGGGACAAGGGGCTGTCAGGGAGAGCAAGTGTTGCACTGGGGGTTGTGGCCCCTCCAGAGCACAGGCTCTTCCTCCTCAGTTCTATCAGCTTGGGCAGATCATACAGTCATAGCATGGTTTGGGTTGGAAGGGACCTTAAACCCATCCTGTCCCACCTCCTGCCACAGGCAGGGACACCTTCCACTCTCCCAGGGTGCTCCAAACCCCACCCAGCCTAGCCCTGAACACTTCCATGTTCAGGGATGCAGATCCAGACCTCGAAACTCTCCTGCTTGTGTCCTCACGCTCTGCAGAGTTATTCCCTCCTCTGGAGCTGCTCCACTGTGTCCCAGTAATTAACACCCAACAGGACAAGGAGAACAAGCACCTGCATTCCCACATCCCAGGGGCCAGCCATGGCCATGGTACTGGGGACTGCTCCAAAATGTTCACTCCATAAATTGTGTCCTGGTGCCCATTAAACTTTTTGAGATGGAAGTTTCACCAAAACTAACACAATTCTGTGAAAATTCTGGCTTTCATGATTTGGCATTTTACAGGAAAAAAAAAAAACAAACTAAAATAACTTGCCAAGAATTTCCCAACAAGCTTTAATCCTGAGACACCACTGTGAGCCAAAGAAACAATGATAAGGATCTATGAAAAACATGGGGAAACAAAGAAGTGATGGGTTTAAAGCCTCCAGAAAATGAAAATGCAGCTGGAAGGCAGAGCACTGGGTTTCTCTAAGCATGCCGAGGAGGGAAACTCACTCCCTTTGAATCACAGGGAGCCCTTTCTAGCTGGTTTCAAAGGAAGTTGGATGTGGTCATGGAATGACCGTGGTGCTGTCACTCGTGCCCTCATGAGTTCATGGATGAACTGGAAGTGCCATGGGTTTCTTGCAGCTGGAGGAATGATGCACACCAGGAGAAATGGGAGTTCTCCCTCCCTGTCTGCTACAGCCAGCGGAGACAAACAACTTCCCCCATGCCTGATGCTGGGGAGATAAGGGAAGTTTGGGAATATGGTTGTAACTGAGCCAGCTGGGCTATGCCTGGCTCTCTGCTGTGGGCACAAGCACACGGAGGCTGGAAGGGAAGAGGGAAACCCAGGACTGGACAGGCTGGAGAGGCAGGGAATGTGGCACTGCCTTGCAGTCACAGCTGAAACCCCAGGGTGCTCTTCCTTCTGGAAATGTTGCCAAGCACAGCTTGAAGTATCAGGAAGGTGAACAGAGCACATGAAGACACCTGTACCACTGGTACATCCCAGTGCCAGAACATCCATGGAAAATGAACAAGTTTCCCCCTTCAGCAAAAGAAATGGCACAGCACTAGTTCCAGATATCAGAGAATTGGGAATCTCTCCCAGGACCTGGTGGGGAAGGTGAGGAAGGTGTTATTTGTTGGCAGAGAGGGACAAGCCTGAGGTGCAGTGGCTGCATGTGCTGCATCCCAGCAGCTTTTCCAGCAGGAAATTTCCAGTAAAGACTAGCCCATGATGTGTTTTGCTGTTTCATGTCCAGAGCTGACGGGGGCCAAAGCACTTTAGAGAAGGTGAGAATCCTCCCCTTCCCAGGAGAGCCATGGGATGTCTTGGGAATGAGGAGGACACTCTGGGATGGGTGATAAGCAGCGTTTGAATTTTTGTGTGACGGACTGAGCTCTTGGGTCATTGATGCTGGCAGAATCTGCCACAATGCCTGTCTGTAGGAGACATTATTCCATGTGGTAATTAGCTTTATTTTTGTGGTGGATTTAGCTGGATAGACGAGTTCCACCATTGTTACACTCCAGTGATTGTTTGAATCCATCGCTGTTCAACGAATGACCCCAACATACATTTCCCACCAGAGCTGGGAGCTCTCCTATCCCCTTCCACACTGCAATGCTCCAGCTGTCCCAGTGCTTGGGGAAGTGACATGTCCTTCTCCGTGATTTCCCCCAGGCTGTCTACAAGGCGTGGCTGTGCTCCGAGTACTTCAACGTGACCCAGCAGCAGTGCCGGCAGCGGATCCCATGCAAGCAATACTGCCTGGAGGTGCAGACCAGGTGCCCCTTCGTGTTACCGGACAATGATGAGCTGATCTATGGAGGTTTGCCTGGCTTCATCTGTACGGGTAAGGAGGGCCGGGCTCACACCGGGCACAGGGGGGTGTTGGTGAGCCCTGACAAATTTCCAAGCCACTCCCTGAGTTTGGAAGGTTTGTTGGGGTGGAGTGGGAGGAGAGGCAGTGTGGAAACATTGCCTGATGCCAAAATGTGGCCACCCCAAGGGTATGGGGGTAAGGGGTCAATGGGGGCACAGCAACATCTCAGCCCAGGAGGTGAAAGTCCTACTTCTGACTGAAAGCTAAAGCATGGAGGGAGCTACAGGTGATGGGTTAAAGCAGGGTGGGGGTATTGAACCGCTGTGAGCAGGATTTGGGGAGCTCTGAGCTCGCCTTGCTGTGCAGGCTCACAGACATGCTGGGGCCAGTCCCAGGGGGTGTCTGGTTGTCCTGGTTCTCAGGTGTGCCCATCCCACAACTGGTGGGCACCAGGGTTCGCTTCCTCTGCGCCTCATCCTCAGTGTCCCGCTGACCCCTCCTCCTGCTTCCTTCCTTCCTGCAGGCCTGCTGGAGAACCAGCTGCCCGACGAGGAGGCCAAGTGCTGCGAGGTGCAATGGGACTCCTGCGAACACCCCCCAGACAGCAACGAGGACACATCCCCCAAATCCACGGCGTCAGAGTCGCTCCATTTCCACCGCCACGACCCCCACCTCCATCACCAGAGGCAGAACCACTACCACCTCTACCACCACCACCACCACCAGTACCACCAGTACCACCAGCCTCACTCCCCGTCCTTGCTGCCGGTCTCTGCGGGGTCTCGCCTCGGCAGCAGCAGGATCAGACTGTGCGTGCTGGTCCTGATGCTCCTCCACACCATGGTGTCCTTCTCGAGCGTGCACGGCGGCGCCGGGGGGCTCGGCCTGGAGACCCCGCCCGCCCTGGAGGAGAGCGTGGCACGGGACGAGTGACACAGAGGGCAGAGCCGACCTCCAAGGAGAACGCCAGATCTTTTCCCATAAGGGGGGCACATGCTATTCCTCCAATGGGAGGCACGGGATTGGGGGTGGCACACACGCACCCCCGCACATCCCCCAAGAGCTGCTCGCGCGGGGCATCCCCGTGGTGAAGAGTCTCTAACGCGCACAGGGCTGCGGGACCCGGCGCCAGAAGGGTTCGGGCAGGGCCAGCATTGCCGGCCCCGCAGGCGTCGGGCGGGCAGGAACGGCACGGGGCCGGGGAGACCGAGGGGAGGGGTCCCTGGGAATCGAAGGGTGTCCCCATGGGACTGCCGGGTGTCCCCCGGCCGCTGCCGCGAGTGCCTTGAGTGCCCGCGCCTCCCCGCCCGCGCCGTGCCGAGGTTTGACGGTCAGCCCAGCCCTCGTTCCTTTTCTCCTGGGTCTGAATCCCGAGGGAGCAGGCGGAGGGGCAGCACCTCCCGGCACAGCCTGGCCCACTCCTGTCCCAGGGAAAAGCCACTGGGGCTCGGGGCAGAACCACCCTGGCGGGGCGCAGTGTCCTCAGCACGGCGCTGCCTCGCTGGTGGCGTTTGGGGACAGGAGTGGGACGCTGTGACACTGCACTGTGGTACCACTCGGGGTTGGTCTCACTGCATCCCAGCTTGCTCTTCCCGCCTTGCCTTTCCTGCTCCTCTATGTGAGGAGGAGGAGGAGAGGGAGGAGGCTTGGAGCAGGAGGGATGTCCCCAGCATTCCCACATCCCACTTTGCAAAGTGTCCTGATGATTTGGTGTAACCTTTTTTGTTGTCCTCCCTGGCTGGTGGGACTGGTCTCAGTGAGGAATTGGGGAGATGTGACTCCAGCAGCACACAGGCTGTGAGGGAGAGGGATCCCACGTGGCAACAGTTGGATGCAGGGAATCCCAAAGGCATCCTTCCATGCTTCCCAGCTACAAATCATTGACTGGATGGCAGGAGGACTGGGCAAGCGGGCTGGAGAAATCTGGCTTGGAGGGAGAGTCTCCCACACAAAGAGGCACTAATAAAGCCCAGCTAGGGAGGAGCATTTTTGTGAATAGTTTCAATCCATGGATGCCCCCAGATCCGGAAATTTCTGGGAGCCCAGCTGGACTTGGCTGGGCAAGGTGCTGGCTGGTGTAGCCTCATTCGGCTCACTTGGGGTGGTTTTTTAACCTGAGCTCAGCATATCCAGGGATTCAGCCCCAAACAAACATCAGATCCCTAGGATCTGATCCCCAGGTCATTTCCTAGGAAACTCCCAATTCTCCACCCACCCACCAGAACTGCTCCCAGCATGGACACTGCGAGGTGGTGCCTCCAGGCCAGGCACCAGGGGCTGTAATTTGTCCTGGGTGTGGGCAGGGAAGGAAGAGAGGGTGTTTTAGCACAAGGTCACGAGTTGGGTGTGAGCCCACTCCCAGCTCCCCGAGGGGCTGGGATGGTCCCTCTGTTTCCAGGCTGGCTCTTGACAGGAACCTACAGCAGAGCCCTGCGTGGGTCATTGCAGGAGACAGGGATGGAGCAGGAGGAATGTCCTGCACCCCAAATTGATCTCGGATCCCTGTGAGGGTTCAAGAAGTCCCAGAGTTGATGATCTGTAGGAGTTTTGTGGTTTCTGGTCTGTTGAGGTGAAGCAAAACCAAGCAGAGCCCCGTGAGCAGAGCCCCATGAGCAAAGCTACTTCCTGCCTGGCTGGAAGAAGGAAGTACCAGGCATCTCGTGGGAAGCACAGGTTTCCTGACATTTCCAGCCCATTTCCAGACCAAAGAGGCTCTGAGAAGCAGCTGAATGTTTGATTCCTGCTTTGACTTGAATCTCAGAGCTTTGGGGTGATGTTTACACACCACCAGTTGCCTGTTCCTAAAGTCCTGCAGAGACGAGGCCTGTGATCCCATTGTCCCATGGTTTTTGGGGTGGGAGAGGTGGTGCTCATGGAAGATGGAGAGTGTTTCCAGAGCAGATTCCCTTGCTACTGCCACCCAAAAAGTAGGATGTCTCTCATTTGACTATTCCTCATCCATCTAATTTCAGCCCAGTTGACACCAATCAGAACAGTTGGACATGGAGCAGTTCTGCAAACCGGGATCCAATCCCTTGGTTTTCTGTGAGCAGTGGATTGTGGAGCTGCTCTGAGAAGGAGCAAAAGCTCCCATGCAGGCCAGGGGAGGGAGCACAGCCCCATCCCTGCCTCCAGACAGCCGGATCCCGAAGGAAATTAGATTTCTCCTGTACTGCCAAGAGTTAAGCTAATTCCAGGCGCCTCTCTCGGAGATAGACTGTGTCCAATCTCGGAGCGACTCATCGGGAGAGAGAAGAATGGCCCAGTGTGGTGCGTCAGCAAGTGGCCCTGAGTCACTGGCCCTGTTCATGTGTCATGTGTGACACTGAGCAGCGTGGCCCGGCCTCAGTCCCTGCACCACATCCGGATCCGGCACCTCCCTGGGGGTGCGCGTCCTTCTCCCTGCCCTGAACCCTTGTGTCCTGCTGGTGATGGAGCGCCAGGCCAGGCTTGGGGGTGGTGATGTGAGGCTCCCAGAGAAGTTGTGGAAGTGTCCAAGGCCAGGTTGTACGGGGCTTGGAGCAACCTGGTCCAGTATGAGGTGTCCCTGCCCATGGCAGAGGGTGAAACAGAATGGGCTTTAAGATCCCTTCAACCTAAGCCATTCCATGATTCCATTATTTCCACAGAGCTGCAGGAGTGAGATCCAACAACCCAAGTCTTCTTCAGGGGGTGCTGGCAGGGATTTGCTGGGATAACCTGGGAGCTGTGAGGAACAGTTTCAGCTTCCCTAACACCTGCTGGAGGCTTCCCTCGGGAGGTGTTGCATCCCAGTGAATCGGGAAGCGGAGCCAATTCAGAGCTGGGCTGGTTTGGGTGGCTACTGGGGAGGTTTGAGCCCCATCCACCAGGAGTGAGGAGGCCACCAGGACAGGAGATCCTTGTGCTTTCCAGGCCACAGCTCCCGAGGGGTGTTTCTAAGAGGATGAGATGCCAGAGAGAACACATGGGATGCGGATCCACTCTGGGAGCATGGGATGGGCTTTACCTGCTGCAAGTGGGAGGAAAGTCTGGGTCTTCCCAGAGCGAGGCTGTAGAAGATCTTTTCTTTAGTGAGTCTGGGCTGCTGTCAATAAGTTTTGTGGTTTTAGGGCACCATATGCTGCATTCAACACTTTGCCAATCTGCTTAAACGGATCCAGACAAGGCTGTTCCCAGAGCAGGAGCAGCTGGAAGTGGTGTATGGAGCAGTCCATCATCAGGAGCCCATCGGATAAAATTCCTGCCTTTGGTCTGACATTACAACCTCCTAATCCTCCATCCCCAAGTACTCTGGCTTTGCTTTCTGAAAGAACAGCCCGGGAAGCAGACAGTGACATTGTCTCACTTAACACTACTGGCATTATTTTTATTACAAAGTGGAGGGAATGTGCCTGGAAAAGGAGTGAGTGTGCTTGGATAAAGAAGGAATGTGCCTGGATAAGCAGGGGAAGGGCTTCCTTACTGTGTCCAGGGATGCTTCACCCCAAGCCCTGTGTCCACTCAAGCAGGGGCCTTTTGCAATCCCAAATGCTTTCCACATTCCCAAAGCCACCTTGGAATATGTGAGCTCTAAATTATTTATCCCACTAGGAACTTAAACCCAAGGGGCTTTGTCCTCTTCATCCCATGTTCTTATCTCTTCTTCCTAAAGAAGATGCCCCGTGTTGGGATTAATATGTAAAAATTACTTTTCCTTCAGTGGACAAACTTCTCTTTGCTCAGAGAAAATTCCCAGTGGGAAGCAGTGATTCCTCCCTGGTGAGGGGGTTTCTCATCCCCAGGGAAGTGAGGGGTGATGATGTCTCCACAAGCTCCAGGTGTGGGCAGAGAGAAGGAGCAAAAGGAGTCGGGTCCAGCGTTATTCCCGGGTTTTGCACTTTCATGTAGCTGCCAGTTGTACAAATTAATTAAAAATAACTGAAGAAAAATCCCAAAGAAAGGCCCCGCTTCCTCTGGGGAACATTAATCATTAGCTGAGTCTTTTTCTTATGAAAATACAGATCCATGGTAGCCCCAGGCAGAAGATTCCCAGGGAGAGCCCTCACCATTCGTGCTCGGAGTTAGGGAAATCGCTTTGAAAGCATCTGACAACTAAAGCAGAACATGTTGAGTAACTTGGCAACACTGGGAAAACATCTGGAACTGGTTTATCTTCAACACATTTTGCTTTGCTTCAAGAGGAGATGTCAGGGCAGTTCATTCACTGCCACTCAGGGCCGCGGGCGGGGCCGGGAGAGGCTCGGCTGCCGCCTGGAGGAAGGGAATAAAGGGAAAATCCCAGATATCTGCTTCTCCTGGGCAGGATCCTGTGAGGCCAGGCCGTGGAGTGTCCCTGTGCTGAGCTCTGCATGTGCCTCCTGGTCTCTGGTGGCACTGAGTGTGATGGTTTGGGATGGGTTGTTGAGGTTGCCTGGAAATGCTGTGGCTGCCCTGTCCCTGGGGGCATCCAAGGCCAGGTTGGATGGGGCTTGGAGCAACCTGGGATAGTGGAGTGTCCTTCCATGGCAGAGGGTAGAACTGCATGATCCTGAAGGTCCCTTCCAACCCAAACCACTCTGGGATTCCATGATTTCCACAGAGCCAAAGGGAGTGAGGTCCCATAGCCCAGGTTACCCTCAGCTTGTGATTCATCCTGTTCCCATTCCTGCTGCTGTCTGGGAAAGGAATGCCTGTAGGGCTTGGTGGAGACAATGTCAGGACAGAAACATTCCTGGATTCTGCCAGAAAGTGATGGGGCAGTGTACTAGTCTGAAAGCAAACCAGCAGGAGATTCCAAGTCAGAACTACAATTTAATAGGAAAATTAAAGTAAAGGCGGTAGTACAGAAACCCTGGTTTAGACTGATAGAATCAGAGTACGACCTGCCAGCCTGTTGGTCAGGGTGGGGTAGCAGTCCAGTTAAATGGGAGCTGTTGGAGTGATGGATGTGGTTCTGTCAAAGCAGTGATCCTGTAGAAAGATCTGGTCCTTCTCTGGAGGTTCCGTGGTGGTTATGGAGCCCTTGTCCTCTGCAAATCCAGTGGTGTTGCTCCTGTGGTGTTCCAGGCCTCAGACTATATCCAGGTAGGAATGTTTGGTTCCTCCCCTCAGTGTGCAGGAGCTCGCAATGAGATGATGTAATTTTATGAGTCATTCTTTGAGACCCTTCCTCAACACGTGTCACTTGCTCCTCCTCACCTTCTGGGCATCTCCCACAGTGGTGCTGGATGTTGTGGTGGTTGTGGAAGCAGCAGTTGTTGTTGTACCCTTTTTAGTGCCAGTCACAAATTCAATTTCTGTACGTTCTTTCTTGGCCGCCTTCAATTTGTCCATCTCAGTCTTCTGGGCTTTAGCTAGGGCCTCATAATATGAATCCTCTGACCAGCTATGAGGATCAAACATGTCCTTTGGGTAATTTGTACCAATTTCATCAATGGAACAAAACTGGATCAGCTTTTCATAGATGCTGGGGTTGCAAAATTCCTTTTTGTTCTGGATGCTGTAGTTCATATCCATGTCCTCTTTCATTTTCCTCTCATACAGCTTTTTAGTTTTATCCTGCAATTGGTTAGAACATCTGCCAGGAGGCTCAGGAGGGATTTTCATCTCATCTGGAGACGTGTTCCACACTCTCTCTGAAAAAGAAGCAACCGGTTCCTGAAGATCTCTTTCCTCCACTTCTTGGGATTCCTTTAGGTCACCAGCCTTACGTTTTTCAGTCTGTAAATCATCATCTTCTGAGTGCCTGCTGTTCCTATCATGCTCCTCTTTGTACCCTTCCTCATCTCCCTCCAGGTGGGTAAAGTCACCTTCTCCATCCCCAGCTGACAGCAGGCTCCTCTCTCCCCCGTCGCTCCCCACCGTGCCGGCCTCGCCGTCCCTCTCCGGCTCCGGGTCCTCACCACAAACCTCCAGCAAGGAGAGAGCTGCACTTCACTGCCACATCTTCCAGGGCTGCCCACTCTGGGCACCAGAAATGTTCCAGCTTGAAAGCAAACCAGCGGGAGATTCCAAGTCAGAGTTACAATTTAGCAGGAAAACTAAAGGCAGTAGTACAGAAGCACTGGCTTAGACTGACAGTCAGAGTGGGACCTGCCAGCCTGTTGGTCAGGGTGGGGTAGCAGTCCCATTAAATGGGAGCTGTTGGAGTGATGGATGTGGTTCTTTCAAAGCAGTGATCCTGTAGAAAGATCTGGTCCTTCTCTGGAGGTTCCATGGTGGTTATGAAGCCCTTGTCCTCTGCAAATCCAGTGGTGTTGCTCCTGTGGTGTTCCAGGCCTCAGACTATATCCAGGTAGGAATGTTTGGTTCCTCCCCCTGGGTGGAGCCTCTCGCAATGGGATGATGAGATGCATGAGTCATTCTGTGAGACCCTGGTGGCCCACTAGTGCTGATGGCTCCCCACAGAGTGGCTGGTGCTTCCCTGGGGGGAGTTATCAGGGCTGAGTCATGGAGAAGGTAACGCTGCCCCACCTATATTTTGGTTACATCTTACATTGTAACCCAAGACAGGTAGGGAATTCCTGAATCAGCTTTTCCTGCTTCCCTGGGGCTTCCCGTGTCTGGGGGCTAAATCTCTCTTAAACTAGGCTGGACAAGTTGGGAAGGGCCATGTCGTGTTCAGGTTGGATGTTAAGGATCTTTTTTTTTTTTTTTTGCAAATTGAGAAATGCATCCAGAGCAGTCCTTTCCCACAAAACCTTTCATTTTCCAAATAGAAAACGAGGCAAAAAAAATAAAAAATCAATCACACTTTTTCTGCTCACAGGGTTGGAACTGGCGGCAGTGGATTGGGAGAGAATAGCAATTTGTAAGGAATTCCAACCAGCTCTCCTTAAAATAGCATCCAGCCAGTTTCTCCAGGGCAGGAGGCTGGGTGGCTCCGTGGTGGGAACAGGCTGGAGTGAATCCTGGCTGAGCAGGCCAGGATAACACCTTGGGAATGCAGGGACACCTTCCCCGTGGGAATCAGAGCTGCTGATGCCTGGGAGGAATTCCTGGGGATCCCCAGCCATGCCTCTGATGGAGGTTTGGTTTGGTTTTCTGTTCCAACCCAAACTGAATCCAGCTCCTCCGAGCCTCATGTTGGAGCCTCAGGATGCCTTCAAAAGGGAGATGGGAGGCACTGGGCTGGAAATTGGGATCAAATTCCATGTGCTGGTCCTTGAGGGAGCCAACGCCATGTTCGGGAGGGATGTGGGAAGGGAGAGCAGGAGGAGACCCCAGCCCCTCGTGCCCTTCTCCCTCTGGAGCGTGTCCGAGCTGGGGCTCCCTGCCTTGTGCTGGGTGTCCCAGGGCCTTGGGGGCACCTTGGGGACCTCGGGGGGACCCGTGGGACCCGACCCCGCCGTGCCCAGGCTGCCGAGCCCGAACCCTTCTCGAGTGCTTGTGCCGTGTGGGTGGTGACAGAGCTCGGCCCGACCCCAACGAGGTCCTTGAACAGTGCGTGGTGGTGAAACACAAACCAACATTGCTGAAGTCAAAGTATCCTTTCTAATCCCCCGGCCCGGTTTCTCTTTCTTTCCAGCTTTTCCTCCTCCACCTCCTGGACCCTCCCTCTGTTCCCACCCCCCTTCTGTTTCTCTTTCTCCCTTCTGTCATAAGAAAGTGACTGTGTCCTCGAGGGGACAGTTTTCTTATGCCATTTTATACACTGTGCTTCATGTTTAGAACTTTTTTGCACTAGTTCCTATTACATTTATTTTCCAAACTGGTTTGACAAAAAACAAACAAAAAAAACCCAACAAAAACACAATCCCATGCTATAATTCAGTTGTATTAAAATATTATCCTACTACTCTCTGTGTTCAATAGTCTCTGTACCTGTAATGCTTTCAGTTCTGTTGTATTTTGGGGCCGAGGTTTTCTCTGCTCCTTGTTTAACCCAGTAAAGAAATAAAATGTTAAGAATTGATGATAACTCCTCCTCCCTGTCTCTGCTGTGTCACTGGGGCCACCAGGGTCCCACGGGGACGAGCTCCCCCCAGAACCTGCTCTAAACCCCAGCCACTGTCCCATGGGGGTTGTTTTCCTGCCAAATCCAATCCCAACTGGAGGCCAGAGAGGCGGGATGGAGGGACAATAACCCTGCCTTAACTGAATTTGATTTCGTAACCTTTCTTTATATTCTTTTGTTTCTTGCTTTCACATTTCTTGCCACGGGGCTCACCTCAGAACAATAGGGGCGAAGGCTGTCACCAAGAGATTCATCAGACAATAATGACTCAACCAGGGTATCCAAATTTTGCCCAGCTGAAGTCCACACCCACACATAATCTGGAATTAATTCCTCTGGACAACAGAGCTCGGCATGGAACAGAGCGAGGACACCGCGCTCCAAATTGAGCGCTGCGTGCCAGGCTGGGAAAGGCCACGGGATAAAGCTCTGAAGTTACACTGTGGCCATCCCCATCCCGAGCTGGAAACCCTCTGTTGGGAAAGAAAACCAGGAAAAGGGGAAGAAATTGGATGGGGATGGAAATAAATGTTTTAATAAACCACATTGGTGCAGGAGGCAAATGAGGGAGGCACCAGCTGTGCTGGAGAACCAAGGCACAGAGTTGGGGGCAGGAGGGGGAATTCAGGGGGCTGGTGGCTCACAGTGAGAGGGGCTGGGGGCGATAATGAGGGGCCTGCACTTCCCCAGTGCGGGCAGCAGGAAGGGGGGTTCTGTCTCCCTGCCCTGCTCAGGTGAGACCACACTCTGGAACCCCAAACTCAGAGCCTCAAACTCTGGAACCCCAAAATCAGAAGGACCTTTGGAGTTGCTAGAGGAAGTCCAGAGGAGCTCATGGAGCTGCTCCAAGGTCTGGAGTCCTGCTGGAGCCAGGCTGGGAGAGCTGGGGGTGCTCACCTGGAGAGGAGAAGGCTCCAGGGCAACCCTGGAGCTCCTTCCAATGCCTAAAGGGGCTCCAGGAAAGGACTGGAGAGGGACTTTGGACAAGGGATGTAGGGACAGGACACAGGGAATGGCTTCCACTGCCAGAGGGCAGGGTTAAATGGGATATTGGGAAGGAATTCCTGGCTGTGAGGGTGGTGAGGCCCTGGCACAGGCTGCCCAGGGAGGATGGAAGAGGTCTTTGTCCCCCCAGACAGGAAAGCACCCACTGGAGCCTGTCCCCAAGGAGCCTCAGGTGCCTCAGGTTGTCCTGCAGCCCAGGTGATTCCCAATTCCAGAGTGACTCCTCCTGAGCATGCCCTAAACTGCCCCAACTTCAGAGCTCTGGGCCCCAGCTGGACTTTAGGAACGGCACAAAAGGGTCCTGCAAGGGCCTGGGCTGGTGAACAGCGTTGGGATGCAGCACCAGCCTTTCAGGAGAGTGTTTGGGGTCTTTTCCTTTTCCTTTGGGAATGCTGCTTGCAAGCTGTGCCCTGGCAATCCTGCTGCTATCTCTCATTCTCCTGGGTGCCTGGGGAGCAGTGATGCCACTCCTGAGCTCAAGGGTTTTGGTGGCCACGTGGTGCCCAAACTGCTGCAGCAGCTGCAAATCCACCCAGGAACGTGCTGATTCCCAAGGATTTGATTAGGGGGGATTTGAGTTAAGTGGATGTGAATTTTCATGGCTATAGGGGCTCTGCACATCAAAGCTGGGAGGCAGCGTGGGGCCAGGGAGAAGTTTCTCAGCTGTAAATTTGCCTCGTGACTCCATAAAAATTGTGATGGGCAGCATGGAAAGAATTCTGCTGGAAAGAGCCTGGAAAATGCTGCACCCCCGAGAAAACAACACAGAGGGCTGCAGACCCAAATCAAAGTCCAGGCCTGGGAATGTTTTGAGGTGTGAGATGGGACACTCCAGATGCTGAAGTCCTGGGTGGGGTCTGGGTTTTGAACCTCAGCCCTTCCTGGATGTGGATTAGGAATTCTTCTTTTATGTCTTTATTTATAGTTTAATGGATGGCACACCAGCTCCTGCTTTCTGGGTTATCAAAAAAGGAAAAGGACCATTTTCAAATGTGCATTTCTGAACAATTTCAGGCCTCCTGCAGCTTCTCCATCCTCCCTGAGCAGAGGAGAGCTTGGGCTTCATGGAAATCCAGAAACAAGGTTCTAAAAATGTGCTTGAGATCCTTGTTTTTCACACCAACACTTGACCATGGGAGATTAAGAATTCTGAAGAGAGGATTCCTCCTCTCAGGAATGGAGTTTTAGGGTGTTTTCCACCTACCAGGAAACTCCAGGATGATTTCAGGCCTTTCCAAGTCTGGACATTCTGGATACATTCCAGCTGGAGCTCCTGATGTTGGTGAGTTCTGCATTTATTTTTCTGGCATCAATCAGGTTTTTTTGGGTGTGTTTATGGCTTTTGTGACTTGACAATGTGATGCCACCTCAGCCAACTGATGAAAATCCTGGAGTGAGGAGTTGACGTTATTAATGATTGTCATTTTCCACATTTTTTGCCTGAAGGACTCCTTTGTTCTCTTCTTTTTGTCTCTGTGTTAAGTAACAGCTTACAATTAATTTTTCATTCCAGCCCCCTTTGCCCCAGCAGAGCCTGGAGGGGCTGTGGAAGGTGGGTTTGTGTGGATTTCCATGGATGCTGTGAGCCAGATGGGTTTTGCTGGGTGATTTCTTTCTCCCTTGTTCTGCTTTTCCTGGTTTCTCCTTTGGATCATGGCCTTGGATCTGTCTTGGTACCTGAGGAAGATCAAGGTTTCACTGTTGTGTTGTGTTTTCCCCACTGAAAAAATCTGTTGTCTTTATTAATTCAGTTTTAATTGCAGTGAACTGATGGGCAAGAGCTGGGGAGGATTTGGTTTATTGGGTTTGCTGCCTCCACTTCCCCCTGGTTTCTTGTTCACCCTTCACACTCACAGTGTCACCTTTCCAAGGCTCTGATCCCTGCTCTCTGTGACCAGGGACAGCACCTCTTGTTCACCCTTCACACTCACAGTGTCACCTTTCCAAGGCTCTGATCTCTGCTCTCTGTGACCAGGGACAGCACTCAAAGAATGGCTGGAGCTGTCAGGGCAGGTTCAGGTTGGATTTTAGGGAAAGGTTTTTCTCCCAGAGGGTGTCGGGCAATGGAAGGGCTCCCCAGAGAATGGGCACTCCCCAGATCTGAGTTTGGACAGCTCTCCCAGGCACAGGGTGGGATTGTTGGGGTGTCTGTGCAAGGCCAAGGCTTGCACTGGATGATCCTGTGGGTCCCTTCCAGCTCAGGAAATCCTGGGATTCTGTGACTCCTCTTCCTCCAGTCTCAGCATCTTTCCACCACTCTCTTCTCTCCCTCAGCTGTGTTTCTTGATCTTTTCTCCAAAACTCATTGACTTTGGGTTTTTTTTAATAGAATTATTTGGGTTGGGATCTTTGGGTCATTTCTACCCCACTCTTGTTCTTGCAGAATGGTTTCTGTCCCCCCCAGATCCCTTCCCTGGGCTCAGAGCCCAGCCCAGGTGAATAACCAGCCCCAGGTAAGCCCAGCACAGGCTTGGAGCAAAGCCTCGCTGCCAGGAGATCCCCTGACATGTTTGTACTCATAAACTTGTCAACATTTGGCTTTTTTGTCCCTCTTGGGGGAAATTGCTGCTGTTCCTCACCCCATGTCAGCTCCCGGGCCGCTTTGGGAACGATGCTAAAACCCCTGCTGTGGGCGAGGCTCCGGTGGGAGCTGTCACTACCTCGGGGTCAGGAAGCCAACGGGAACCTCTGTTCCATAAACTGTGAGTTTTTCATAAAAGCCTTTCTAATTTGTACCAAAGAGACTCCAGCACACCCTTGGGACTGGTAAAAATAATAATAGTTTGAGTGGTGGAAGACTGTGAATTTGAAACAGAAGGTTGTGAGATCCACGAGAATTACCCGAAACGTCAACGTTGGACATCAATTAATGTAATTTAGATATACAATGAGATAGCAAAGATTCCCACAAAGGACTGTCAGCTCTTACCTCTTCAGATCTCAGTGAGATAAAGCAGATGTTTCCATCCCATTGATCCAGAGGAATCGGCCTTTCCATCCCAGAGCGCGCTGCCTCCAATCGCCCGGGAATTATTCCTCACCAAAATTACAGGGTTTGCTATTTTTCAATCATTTTTTTATTCATTCTGAGATGAAATGCACATGTTCCTATCAGCAGGTTTAGCTTAGGAATGCTGCATTCCCAAAGCCAGGAGTCTTCTCATGGAGGAGAGGTGAAGGCAAATGGCACTCGGAGCTGGAGCTGTTCCCTCTGGAAAGGTC